CGCCAGAAATGGCCTAAGAATACCTCGTGGAAACCACAAGACAATTTGTATAACATTGTTTGGTAGGGCTATAAGCGAGCCGGGACGCTTCGCCACTGCTTCAAAAGAACCCATCGAAAAAAACACATCATGTGGGGGAACCACAACAAATACTGCTACTCCCCGGACCTCTCCCTGGGCACGTTCTGACCAAGACTTCGAGGCGAATCTGGCCTTGGTGGCGAGACCCTCCCAAGAGGCCCCCCAAAACCGACAATGAAGAAAGGGCAGCGGTATTTGCACCGTTTCCTGCGCTGAGTCTGGATCCATGTTTTGTTCGGGGCGCCGATGCCTCTTCAGCGCAATGTCCGCTCAAAATCGGTCCGATCCCACCTGGGGGGGTCCTTCTGGCGCAGCTTTTCGCCCCGGATGCGTTTTGCCCGCCACGGGGCCTGAAAACGGCGCCAGGAGACTGAAAAAGGCAACACACACAGCGTCGATCCCCCCCCTCCTGCTGGCCAGAACCATTGCTGGGCCACCTCGGACCCCCAGCCGACTCCAAAAATTGGGGAATCAGATGGCCGATTCCAGAAACCCTGAACTCAAAAACGTTGCCATCTCTTGGGGGCACATCGTTCACTTCAGACGCAGGCCGCCGGCCTTCCGCCGGCTTCCGCCGGCGGAGACGGCCTCGTTTTGCTTCCGCCGCGGAAGAGATATCACACTCCTTCGATCCTCGAAGGCGAAGCCCTTTCTGAAACGCCTCACGTGCCCAAACCCCCGACGCCATGATTTTTCCGTAACGTCACCCAGAAGGGTCCCGACCCATTCCCCGGGACCGGCTTTTCATCCCGAGTCGTTTTCTTCTGACGGTCCCGAGGCCCGGCGAGGGCCCCCCGAGGCCGAAAATGGCCCAAAACCTGCCGCCCTGACTTCTTTGTACGACGCGATCATGTCTGGGGCTATACGGTTCGACGCCGCGAAACACCTGCCGCCATGATTCTGTCCATGGCCCGAGGGGGTCTGGGCGTCTGTCTTGGCCGACGCCTTTCTGTTCGGGGTGCCGCAGCCTCAGCAGCGCCAGGGCGGCCGCTCGGCGCGCCGCGGGCCGCGGCGTCGTGCCGCCGCCGGCGCCCGCGGGGGCCATGGCGGGTCCTATGATGTTTCAACCTATACTTTAGCCTTGATCGCCAGAGAGAATTCCGAGCACCAGGGAAGTACCGAAGCTGGAGGGTTAGCACCCAGACGTGATCGCTTCGTTCAAGAATCAAGACGGGAAATTTTGGGCCATTTTCGGCCGCGGGGGGCCCTCGCTGGGCCTCGGGACCGTCAAAAAACTACCCAGGATGAAAAACGGGCCCCGGGGAAAGGGTCGGGACTGGGACCTCGTACTGAAAATATCTGGATGTCGCATGTCTGGGCACGTGCCGTGCCCTGGGAGGCGATGCTCGTTCGACGCTGTTTCGATACTCTTTCTGGGTGCTCGGAATTGTTTTTAAGTCGGGCGTGTCCCCCTACAGGGAGACATTCGACAAAAGACAGCAAATATCCAAAACATACTCCAGCATGGTCCAAAATACAAAAAAATCGTGCCCAGACTATGTTTTGACTATCTTTGAATATCCCCCCCTGTGGAGGGACAGGCCCGACTTACAGCTATTTCCGGGATGTGGCCCTTCAGCGCGGTGGGAACAACATAGGGCGGGCCCCCCGCGGGGGCAGCGCGCGCGGGCCACCCCACGAGCGCGCCCCCGGTGGGACCTTGAGGGGGAGGCCCCAGCCTGGCACGCGGGGCGGGCGGCGGGCAGTGGCGCGCGCCGCCTCCCCTCTTGCCCACGCATTCTTTTGTGTATGCACATCCATATCTTTATGTGATCACATCTATATATATATATATATGTTACAACATAATTATAATTGACGCTTGGCCGCAGGGTGTGGGAGGGGCCTCTGGATCTGGGCTGGGGTGCCCGGCCGATCTGCGCCTGCCAGTCGCCTATAGGCAGGCCTGAGGCGAGGGGCCCCGCCCGGTCGCCGACGAACAGCCGCCGAGAGCGGCCCACATCTGGTGCGAGCGAGGGGATCGAGGCTGGGGGGGGCGGGGACCCGCGCCGATCGGCGAAGCAGCAAGGACCACGACTTCGCGGCTCCTGCTCCTCTTCCTGAAGGGCTGGATGGGTCCGTGGAGGCTCTTCTTCCGCCGCCGCCCGTTGCCGCCCCGCCGCCACCCACGTGGGCGGGGCTTGTCGAGGTGTCGCCTCGTCGCCGCCCGTTGCCGCGTCGCCGGCGCCCACAGCGTTGGGGGGGGGCCGTGGGAACTCTGCCGCACAGCTTGCACCACACAGCGTGCACCACATAGTAGCTTGCACCACGCAGATTGCATCACGTAGCTTGTCGGGACGGGAAAATGACCACAGCCACTGCTTCTTGTTTGCGCCGCCTTCCAGCCGGCCGAAAAAGAAGCAGTGGTTGTGGTCATTTCCCTGGTGCCAAGCTCAACGAAGTGACCACAACCACTGCTTTGTTTCTGCGGGCTGCAAGGCGGCAACACAAGAAAAGCAGTGGCTGTGGTCGTTCTCGCGCCCCGTAAGCTTGCACGTCCGCAACGGAGTACCCTACAGTTTGGGGTTGCCTTCCTGCTTGGGGCCCACGCTGGCTACCATGACTTTTCGAGCGCGGCTTCCTCTTTCCCCAGACATGCCCGCGTCGCGAACAGAAATCACGACGGCCAAATTTGGGGCCGTCTTCGGCCCCTGGGGGCTTCGCCGGGCCCTGGAGCCGTCCAAGAACGGCTCGGAACGAAGAGCTGTCCCCGGGGGAAGAGGCCAGGACCTCTGGGGGCCCCGCACTGCAAAAACATCCAGGCGTCGGGTGCCTGGGTAATGCCGTTCGGCCCTGCTGCCGTCCAGCGTCCACTGCCAGGTCACTTCAACCCCGGCTGACCGCACTGGCGCGCTGATCCTGACTTGCTTCCGCAGTGCATGCCCTCCCCCCCCCGCCCTGTGTCCTCCGCGGCCGCTCCTCTCGGGAGCGGCCAAGAGGGGGGTCCAAAAGGGGGGGGGGGGCAAATCATGACCGGCGGCACGTGCGCGGCCCAGCGGGGCGGGCCAGGGACGCAATGAAAGAAGAGGAGGCGCCGCAAAATCTGGGGAAATATCAGGGCCCCCGCCATGATATCCTCCCCCCTAATCATTACCCCCCTCTTTTCCGCGGCCGCTCCTCCCCGCGCGCTCCTCCTCCTGCGGCCGGGCGGGCAGTTCGCCGCGCGCCCCCGGGCAACTCGAGCGCCCGTGCTGCCTGCCTCCGCCCCGCCGCGGCGACGGAGGGCCCGGGCATGCCCCCAGACATTTGTTGATCTGCAGGGCGAGAGCAAACCTCCTTCGCTGAAGGCTAAGCGGGACGCGCACAGCTTTACAATTAGCAGAGAAGGGGCGGAAGAAGGCGGGGCCTCACGCGGCCGGGAGCGGGCGAAGCCCGGGGATCAGGCGGTGCCGAAGTGGACGTGCAGGAAAAGGTATACCTGGGACAAGCATGTCCCCAGACGTGTGACGTCCTGACTTGTTCGAGGCATTCCCCGGGGCCTGGTTTCTCATCCGGACTCGTTGTCTGACGGTCCCGAGGCCCAGCGAAGGGGCCCCCCGAGGCCGAACACGACGGCCCAGAACCTCCCGCCCTGACTTTTTTGTTGCCGACCCGGTCTCATGTCTGGGGGTCCGTCTCCCTCTGTGGCTGCGCTCCTACTCTTCCTGTGGGCGTCGGGTGCGCCATTCACCCTGCCGAGCCCCAGGCTGTGGCAGTGCGGCTCGCCGTGCCTCTCACGGCGCCGCTGCCGAGCAACGGCGGCCTCTGTTTGGCCTCCTTTGAGGGGGGGCCCCGCATCGCCACGGCCGGGCGGATCCCGGGTGCGTGGCTGAAGTGGGCTTGTGCTGTTGCTGTTTTGCTGCTGTTGTGGTTGGTGTTGCTCTTGCTGCTGCTGTTGCTGTTGTTGTTGTTGTTGTTGTTGTGGTTGTGGTTGTGGTTGTGGTTGTGGTTGTTGTTGTGGTTGTGGTTGTTGTTGTGGTTGTGTTTGTGGTGGTTGTTGTCGTCGTCATCGGCGTCGTTGTTGTTGTTGTTGTTGTTGCTTTTGTTGTTGTTGTTGTTGTTGTTGTTGTAAGTGAGGTTTTTGTTGTTGCTGCTGCTGTTTCTGTTGTTGTTAATGTGGCCGTTGTTGTTGGTGTAGAAACTGCTGTTGGTATATTGTTCCTGTTGTTGTTCGTTTTTCGTTGTTTGTTGTCGTCGTCCCGCCCGCCACCCTGCCCGCGACCCACACGCGACCCACCCGCGAGCCACCCGCAATCCACCCGCGACCCACCCCGCGACCCGCCCGCGACTCGCCCGCGACCCTCCCGCGACCAACCCCGCGCCCGCCCCTCACTCTTATCCGAAACTGCGGGGTGCTACGTATTTACAGGACAAGGTCCGGGGGTCGGTTGCAAAGGGGGGAAAGCCAGGACCTCAAGCGTCCGGAAGAGCCCCCGACGGCCAGTTTTGTCAGAGGCTAGGGTCTCGCGTCGGAGAACTGTCCCAAGGGGCGGGGTCGAGACCTCCATGAGCGCGAGGGCTGAATAAAACACGAGGTCGGATGTCTGGGAAAGGTAGATGCCACCTCCGTGTATATACATTATACATATGTATACATGGGTGTGTATATATATAAATATATGCTTACAGCTGTATGTGCACATCATATACTGAATAATAGATGTACAGAGTGACGCCAACGATCTACTTCACACCGTTCCACGGACCCTGAAGGCGAATCCACTGATCACAAGTGCACCTTCTAGACTCCGTCAACAATGAGCTCGATACGACTTGCCGCGAGCTCAGGTATCGCCCCAGATTCAGCATGTATGGTTTGGTCGGCATGCCTCGTCACATCTCGTCATCGGCACTGAACTGATTATTGCTGTTTCTGGCTCAAACTCTGAGCAGAACACTCACATGGTTCAAACAGCTCCACTGACAAACGGAATGCTGTATTACCACAAGACGGTGACGCGACTAGCCAATGGCGACTTCACCAAAAAAAGACCGCTGGTGGGTCTTGTGGGAGAGAGAGAGGGAGAGAAAAAGAGAGAGAGAGAGAGAGAGAGAGAACGAGAGAAAACAACAACACATCGTAACCCGTGTTTTGGATGACGGTCCACGTGCTTTCCACAAACTCCGCTTGTATTTGTATGTGCCGCTTGTTTTTTTCGGAGGGGGGGGGGGCGGGAGCGTCGCTCATCATGTTCAGCCTCGGTTTTACAGCTTCGCGACGCCAGCCTCTTGTCTGGATCTGCGGAGTGGCCCCCAGCTGCCGCAATGATTGTCGACGCGGTCTCGTCGGCCGAAACATTGCTCAACAGTTCGCCTCCAGGCAGGACGACCTCGACTTTTGAGAATCGCACCCCTAACTCTCCAATCAGATGGTGGGACATCACCTGGTTGTATAGATTCGAAAGGCAATCGTTGGGTGCTGCACTGATTCGGCAGAACTCATCTCCAAACAAGGTCATCAAATGCAGCGAATCGCAATGAAAGAGCGCCTGCAGAACCAGCGTCGGCAAACTGTGCGCAGCGTACGTCAGCCCCACGGCCAACGCGGGAATGTCGCACTGCCCCTCGCCATTCCGCCCGCAGGCTGCCACATTGCCGTCGCTTCTGAGCAGGACCGTGTGAAAGGCTCCTGCAGCAACCCGCGTGTACTCCAGCCCCCGAGCCAGGTCGGGAAGATCGCACTGCCCTTCTTCGTTGCGGCCGCACGCCACTGCCACACCGTCGCTCCTGAGCAAGACGGTGTGGAAGGCCCCCGCGGCGACCCTCACGTACGTCTGCCCTGCTGGCAGCGCTGGAAGGTCACGTTGGCCCTCGCGATTGCGGCCACAGACCACCGCCGTGCCTGGAGGGGGAGAAAACGGGGACCACGACAACAACTGAACGCGGAAGAACGTCGTGCCGATCCTGGTCACCGCAGATCTGGGTCCTGCATCAACTCGTGGACCGTCCCCGCGAATCGGCGACGGCCGACGTGGGCCATGACCCAAATCGGCATCGACAAGATCCCGCGACATCTTGGGCAAGTGAACGTTTTCTTATTCGGCGTCTCGGCATGGAGCGACAGGGGGGAAGGGGGGGGGGGGCTGGCTCCGAACCTAAGCTTGGTGTGACTGTTTGGAACCGTGCGTCCCATGGGGGAGCCTCCACCTGCCTGAAATGGGCGCCAGAAACACTCTTTTGATCCGCGGGTCGAGAGCGAGCCCCTTCCGGCCGAAGCTGAGCGGGCCGCGCACAACTTTCATCAACAGAGGAAGGAACACGGGCGCCAGAAACGCCCAAGATCTGCTCCGTGGAGGCGGGGGAGGGAGGTGGGCGTGCGAGGGCCGGCGCCGCTCGGCGACACCATGCATACGAGGAAGCGATCGCCATGGCCCCCGTGTTGCTTGCCGTCGAGTGCCGTCGCTTCTCAGCAGCACCGTGTGGCGAGCCCCCGCGGCCACGCCCGCGTAGGCCAGCTCGGCGCCGAGCGGCGGCAGGTCGCACTGCCCCTCGCCGTGGAGGCCGCAGGCCACGGCCCTGCCGTCGCTGCGGAGCAGGACGGTGTGGTCCTGCCCCGCGGCGGCCTGTGCGAGGCGGGGACTCCCCGACTCTTCGGCAGTACAGTCGGGGCCTTGACCCAAGGAGCCTAAAATAAGGAACGAGGCCCCGATTTTCCATAAGTCAAGCTTCGATTTCCGATCGAAAACATAAGGAAAACCTGAGGCAAGCTGCGAAACACTTTAGGAACGCGGAGCCCCTCCCCAACGAAAAGGGTTCCTTCTTCAGGGCCCCGACTGTGGAGGCCTTCCAGATGGGGTCCGAGCAGAGGGGGTCAAAGGATCGCGCCGCATCGGCGATGCATCGCCGACGCATCTGCGATGCATCGGCGACGTCGGCGATGCATCGGCGGCGTCGGCGTGGAGAAAATCGGGCTCCACATCGAGCCGCATCGGCGATGCATTGGCGATGCGGCGCGATGCACCGACCCCAGCTACTCGGACCCCATGTTGGAGGCCTAGAGGCAAGGAAGCAAGCAAAATGGCCAAGCATCCCGAGGGACGCGTGGGCTGGTAGGCGAGGACGCTCGTGGTTCCTGCCAGAATTCGCGTAGGAAGACTCGCCGCCGACAGCGGCAGTGTCGGCACGGCCGCGGGCTGGACTAGGCAGCCGGGCAGGAGGAGGAGAAGGATGGGGACGACGTGAAATCAGTAGCACTGCATCAAAACTATTCTATACACTTCCGTTGGTCATGAACAATAACCACGACGGGAGATGGTTCTCTAGAAGTTCGGCCTCTGCGCGCCCTTACCGGGCCTCGGGGCCGTGAACAAAAAGACTCAGGAGAAGCAACCGGTCCCGCGGCATGGGTCGAGACCTCTGGGGGTCGACGTTGTGAGAGAATCATGACGACGGGGTCTGGGGTTGTCCATGACCACCGCCCAGAGAACCCGACGACCTGGCAACCCAGCGGGCGGTGGCTCATGGAAAGGTTCGGGCCCCAGGGAGCCCGAAGATGTGCCCACATTCGCTGCCTGCCGACTGCCCCGAGGATCGATCCCCCAGGCGGTGGTCCTGGACCAAGCCCCGCCTCGGAGCCTGGGTGTAGGTAAGGCCCGCGGCCAGCGCCGGGATGTTGCACTGCCCCGCGTGGTTGCTGCCGCGGGCCAGGGCCGCGCCGTCGCAGCCGAGGAGGACCGTGTGGCGGGCTCCCGCGGCGACCCACGCGTACGTCGCGCCCGCGCCCGCCGCGGGGAGGTCGCACTGCCCGGCGCCGTTGAGGCCGCACGCCACCGCCGCGCCGTCGCTCCGGAGCAGGACGGTGTGGAACTCCCCCGCGGAGGCCTGTGCGAGGCGGGGGCTCCCCGGCGCCCTCGGCAAGGAAGCAAGCAAGCAAGATGGCCAAGCATCATCACCATCCATCCTCCTCCTCCTCCTCCTCCTCCTCCTCCTCCTCCTCCTCCTCCTCCTCCTCCTCCTCCTCCTCTTCCTCCTCCTTGTCCTCCTCCTTCTCCTCATCCTCCTCCTCCTCCTCTCCTCCCTCCTCTCTCCTCTCCTCTCATCTCCTCATCTCATCTCATCCTCTCTCATCCTCTCATCCTCATCCTCATCCTCATCCTCATCTCATCCTCATCATCCTCATCCATCCTCATCCTCATCCTCATCCTCATCCTCCTCATCCTCATCCTCATCCTCATCATCATCATCATCATCATCATCATCATCATCATCATCATCATCATCATCATCATCAGGCGGCGGCCTGGGTGTAGGCACGGCCCGCGGCCAGCCCCGGGAGGACGCACTGCCCCTCGTCGCTGCGGCCGCAGGCCACGGCCGTGCCGTCGCTGCGGAGCAGCACCGTGTGGCGCGCGCCGGCGGCGACCATGTCGCGAGAGTAGCGGCGCAGCGCTTTCTAGTCGGGCGGCCGGTGGAGGTCGAGGGCGCGAGAAGTCCGGGGGAAGGAGGGATCCTCCCCCTCCCCCGCCTCCTCTCCTCCTCCTCCTCCTCCTCCTCCTCCTCTCCTCCTCCTCCTCTTCCTCCTCCCCTCTCCTCCCCTCTCCCTCTCCTCCTCCCTCCCCTTCCTCCTCCTCCTCCCCTCCTCCTCCTCCTCCGCCGCCTCCCTCCTCCTCCCCTCCTCCCTCCGCTCCTCCTCCTCCCTCCCTCCTCCCTCCTCCTCCTCCTCCTCCTCCTCCTCCTCTCCTCCTCCTCCTCCTCCTCCTCCTCCTCCTCCTCCCCCTCCTCCTCCTCCTCCTCCTCCTCCCCCTCCTCCTCCTCGATGGGAAGAGGAGGACGGCTGCGCGCGGCCAGACAGGGCCCAGCTCGGGCGAGCGGGGGCCACAAATGGCTACGGATCGGCGTCTGCCTTTCAATGCGTGGCGGTGGCGGCGGCGAATCCCCACTGGCCTGGAAATTGTTGGCCGGTGTGGACCTTAGTGGGCCCTGGAAACGACAGGGCCGTTTTACCGGTTCCGTTTTGCCGTTTTTGTTGCCGGCTCCGACGCCGTTTTTGTACCGGTTCCGTCGCCGTTTCGTGACCGGTTCCTGCTCTGGTTCCAATCCTGGAGCCGTTTTTTTGCCGTTTCGGGTCGCCGTTTTTCTGCCGTTTCCATTTTCAAGGGACATTTTCGGGGAAACGGTGAAAACACGGCCCTGCCGTTTCCGGGGCCCTGCGGACCGCGTCTCCAATCTCTCCACCTGCAGCCTGCGAGGCACTACAGCAATTGCCATCTCTGATTTCAGCGGCCCCCTTTTGGCTGTGCTGTGAGCTGGTCGCAGAGAGCGTTCGTGCTTACCACTACTTCGTTTCACTACGTCCTGTCTCGCAGCTGGACGTGCAGTGCATCCCAAAGCCTCTTGCTTGCGCCGTGCATCCTGGCGGCAACCAAAAGAGCATGAGGCGTGCTGGAATGCTCTACGACTCCATCATATTCTTATTTCCGGCACTGCGAATTGCGGTCGCGTGCTGACAAACAGCCTGCTACTGAAACATATGGGCCCACGATTTCGTCGCACAGAAGAGTGACAAACGATGTGGCCGCACGTGCGTTACCATTTAGATTCACGAACCCGGCACGGTGTGAATTAGGATGCATTTCCATCTCTAAGCAAGCAGAAGGAAACCTGTCTGTAATTTCAAGATGCACAGTATCATGGCGTACCATGGCAAGGCACGTCACATAGCAAAGCAGATCCAAGCACGGCATGTCATAACATATGCCACCACTGCAAACCATGGCGTAACATGGCATTGAATGGCAACGCCTAGCACCGCGAAGCCATGCACGCCACAACGTTGAACGGTACAGCGTAAAATACTGTATCACACAATGCGAAACCCTGAATACCCTAGCATATGCTTGAAATTGTAGACCGAGCACGAAGGGTTCTGGCACTTTCGAAATGAAGTTTTTTTGGCGCAGCCCTTGTAGTGTAAACTAAGTGGTGCAATGTTGATGGTGGAATATGGGCGATCCAGCCTATCTGCTGCGACGTATGTAGTGCGATCTAAAGTATGGAACATGTGTGCAAACTTTATGGTGCACGCTATGTGGTGTATGAACTATTAGGTGAAGTATCTGTGGTACAGGGTGCAGTCTATGATCGGCAGCCTATGTTGCGCAATCAATGAGATGCAGGACCTGTGGTGCAAACCCAAGGGTGCGGTTTATGTGGTGCACCTCGCTGGCAACACTCAACTGGCTGGCGACAACAATGCTGAATGATGACGGTAATGATCTTCATAGCGACGGTTTGACGACGACGATGGTGACGGCGATGAGGCACTTGGTGAAAATACTGACGATGGCAATGATGACGCTGGTGACGGTGATGGCGAGTTTGCTGGTAAGGATGATTGGGAAGTGCACCCGCGTGACAGTTTGACGAGGGCGACAGCGACCATGACGATGACGACGGCGGTGGTGATGATGACGACGACGGTCATTATGATGATGACGATGATGATGCTGATGCTGATGATGCTGATGATGACGGTGGTGATGATGATAATGATGACGATGACGATGGCAATGACAAGGCTGGCGATGCTGACAACGACTGTGCAGATGAGGATGGTGAGGACGTGCGCGCTCACAGGCATTTAACATGTGGGGCACCTGTGTAATGAAACGGTTGGTTTGCACATGTAGTGGATCACCGCTAAACACCGCTGCAATCAAAAGCTTGGACAAAACATGATGTTGAACTGGATCCGCCGTACGCGCGCAGAGGCCCGCGCGGGTTGCGCGACGTATGTGTGTGTTGGTCCACGGGTGTGGCGGGTGCGCGATGGTTGTTGAACGTGTTCGAAGTGTGCCGGGTGGTACGCATGTGCTGATTTGATAACCGGTGTATCAACTGAAATATGCTGCATGGCGTGAGCGGGTGCACGCGCAGAAATATGACAACCTTGTGTTGACACGCCTGTACTGCTTGTGATGACTGTGAACAAATCTGTCTTGATACAGTTCGACAGCCACTTGCTTTATACTCGCGGTGGCATGCGCACGGGGCCACGCGCGCATGTGCCACGCACGCTATTAACCAATTAGACTTGCCCACAGGGACCCTCGCTCAATGGCGTGGAGAACTGGCCCGATGCAACCCCGCCCGCTCCCCCCCCCACCTCAACGTTGCCCGTGCACGGCCAAACTGTGCGTATGGCTTCCTTGTGCACGCCAAACGTCCCCTGGTATCCCCATGGTTTCCTAGTATCTGCTCGGCTTCCGCGTATCCGCATGGCCCCATCCTATCAACATTGCGTCCTCGCGCCCGCACGGCTTCCTCGTATCCGCATGACGTACTCGCATCCGAGTGGCATGGCTTCCTCGTAGACGCATGGTGTCGTCGTAACCGCATGGCTTCGTCGTATCCGCATGGCCTACGCGTATCCGCATGGCGTCCTCATATCCACGTGACTTCTTCGTATCCGCATGGCTTCCAACGGCGAGTGGGGCAGAGTGAGTAGAGCAGGAGCAGGATGGAATCAACCAGAACAGCTTAGAGCAGGGTAGAGCAGGAATCGGGTAGGACAGGATTACAATACAGTATGCGGGGTTAGAGCGGGGAAGGTTCAAGTATAGTATAATAGAATAGGTTAGGGTAGGGCAGGGTAGGGCACAGTAGAGCAGAGCAGAGCAGCATAGGGTAGACTAGGATACAGTAGAGCACAGCAAAGCTGAGTAGGGTAGATCGTATACTCTAGCCGGGTAGACCATATTATACTAGAATAGGGTCTAATGGAGTACAGTAAGACGGAGTAGAGTAGAGTTTGAACAACGTAATTGGGAAACATGATATACTCGACCCGAACAGGGCAGAACAGAGTCAAGGCAGGATAGACTAGTGTAGATGCTGGAGTAGACGTAGCGAGGCGCACAATGAAGTACAGTGCATCAGGTTAGAGTAGGTTGCAGAACGCAGTCCAGCCCTGTCCAGTCAAGTCCTGTCCACTCCAACCCAACACTGCCGCCCAGCCCAGCCCAGTCCACCGCTGTCCAGTCCAGTACAGCCCAGTCCACTCCACCAGTCCAGTCCAATCCACGCCAGTCCAATCTAGCCCAGGCCATCCCAACCCAAATCCAATGCAGTCCAGACCAGTCTAGTCCAGGCCATCCAGTCCAAGCCAGTCCAGCCTACCTCAGTCCAGTGCAGTCTAGTCCAGTCCAGATCAGTCCACTCCAGTCCACTTCGTCTCAGTCCCCTGATCAAGTAGGAGTCTGCGCTGGCTGGAATTGTCTGCGTAAAGGAGTTTGAGAGAAAACGCTTGCTGGATCAGCGCACCTGCGCGTGTCAGTAGTACACGTGGCGACTTGATACGGGGTGTGGCTTGCATTCTACTCTTTGAACGTATGGATGAACGATCGCGCAAATTAAACGTGTCATGGGGGCAATAAACGCAGTGAACGAATACTGCCAGCCTCGGCAAGCGGGTAGAGTACAACGTTTCCCGGGGCGGGGAACATATGCGGCGCAAGTTCTATGGTGCAGGCTAGGTGTTGCATGCTCGTTGGTGCAACTGATGTGGCACAGACTAGGCGACGGTGACGGAGGAATTGCCATTTGCAACGCTTGCGCAATCATTCCACCCTCCCACCCGCAACGTGTTCTGCACAACCCGTGCATGTAATCTCGACTGCGGCGGCTCCTTGGCGCTGGCTGGCGCATCCCTGCGGTCGCGCTGTCGCGCGGAAACTCGCGCGCAAAACTACCAGCTGATTTGGCGCAACCGTTGCGGCCGCGCTGGCATGCAGGCACTTCTATGCGGGTCGTTGGTTCGGGCGGGCGCGGTAGCATGATGACGTGGACAACGACGGCAATGATGATGGTAGTAGCGGTGGTGGTGGTGGCGCGACGATGACGGTGACGACGCCCATGGCGGCACACATACTGGTGACAACACTGATGATGCTGATGTTCACGTGTCGGTGATGGCGGTCCTTGAATGGTCACGGAGGCAATCGCGGCGGCTGTCGGCGACGATGGCGCGATGCGGAGGCACTAATGTGGATGATGGTGAGGAAGTGCGAGCGTGGAAATGCCAGAAACCTGGCAGAGTGCCGCTGGTAGACACTTGGTGCTTTCATTCCCCACATTCTCAAGGGGGTCTGAGTTTCTTTCCATCCGCGTCTCCTCTCCTCACCTCACCTCCACCTTCTCTTTATCCTTCCCACCTGCACTCTCACGCGCATCAAACACAAACAACCATGCAGCCGCAAACGCGCACACAGACACATACATACAGCGCGCATAAACACCACAAGCAAGTAGGAGAGGGAAGACACGCTCAGTACCTACGCCTCCTACATACACACACGAGCAACCGCATACACACATACACACAAACACACACAAACACACACACACACCTGCACACATACACACCATACAATGCTAACGCACACCTTGTATGTGTGTGTGCTTTTGGCATCATCCGCGCCATACATATGTAACACATGCCGGGCGCCCACGTCAGACACACGTCCACATGCAGCCGCACACACACAAAATCTAAGTATCTATATACACATCATACACAAGCACAACACACGCGTACGCATACCCACTCATTCACATGGCACGCACACCACGCGACACAGACGCGTGAGACTCGCAGGGCGTGCCAGGCGTGGCATTTCCTCGACACCAGAGTGGGTGCGCTGGGGGTCGTCCCTGACGCCAGAAGGGGTGTGCGACGAGGGGCCTCTACGCGTTGCAGTCTGTCAGGTCGTGGCAGGCATGGTATGTGCTCTACGCTAGCGGAGCGCGCAGGGGGTGCGGTCTCTATGCGCTGCAGGCTCGCAGGGCGTGGCAGGCGCTGAATTTCCTCGACCAAGGGGGGTGCGCAG